CTATTTTCTTACGCCTTCTCACGATATTCCACTCCTAACCAACCCCTGCAAGCTGCAATTTTCAATGCGCTACCTCTCAATCCATAGCGGCATTGATATAGGAAAATTTAGCCTTCTTCCGTTAAAAAGGATGGTCAAGGGCAAGTGGCGCGGTAAATGCCCAAATAGTGTAGGATCAATGCGCTTAGTAGGACATACGCCTGCAGTCGCTGTGTGACGCCTCTTCCAAGGAAGGTACCCTTGCAGCGCCCTATCAAGCTTCAACATACCGACCCGGACGCCAGCGCGCCCGCCGCCACAAACGTCCGACCGATGCTGATGCTCGTATCGCTTCATTTGTGAAGTAAAATATGAAGCGAAGGGATTGATATGAAGCGGCTGCGGTGCTGCATGGATATATGAGTACATGTATGCAGCCGTATCTACCGTAGCGGTTATTGGCACGATGCCAACGGGAAACTCGTCCAAAATTGCTTTGCGAATTCTGTGGAACAAAGGCTTTTTTGCAGGTTTTTGCCTGTTTCACTTCGCTTTTTCGTCATTCTCCTCGCACCCTGCTACCACTTTGGACCGAGTGCCAAATTATCGTGCCTTGTGAATTTTAGGGTTCTATTGAGAAATCAACTACATTCTGATATTGAGGTACAGATTGTTGCTGACACCGCCTGTGGTGTGTCTCAGTTGAAGCTGACGGATCTCAACGAGAACATTCGCTGGGAGCTCTTCGTTAGCTCTTCATCAAAAAGACGGTAACTCACGTCTTCTATCAGACCGGAGACCACGTCTAAGTCCTTAGCTTCTTCCACTCCAAATTCTTTATGGAAAGTAATCAGACCAGCCTGAATTTATTGAAACTGTGATCACAATAGTAGCTCTGGATCCGGAGAAAGCAAAAATTGAACAAATTTACTAACATGGGCTTTCTGATTCTAACTTTCGCTTTACATCTGAATCAAGCAAATAAATTTTCAATAAAAGTGAAAATCAGGCACTTACACGGTGATCCAGAACGTCCCTTATAGTCGTGCTTCCCTTTCCATTTTTCGCAAACTCTGGCCAAAATGAAGATACCTTAAAGATGACACTAATCAGAATATTTCTCCGCTGTTTCAGCCAGCTCTGTCTCAACCGGTTGTGAGTTCACCAAACAAGTAGGCGAGGGATTCAGTGGAGTTAGAAAAGCCTCACGTTTCACTTTACTTGCGCTCATCTGCCTAAAATCGTTAGATGTTATAGTTCCAGGCCACATGATTTTTTCGATAACATTTCAGGGCGCCTGTTAAAAATTAGAGCCCAGCTGGAAGCCTAAGATGGCTGCAATCTGCGGCCAAACTGTAATCTTAAGTTATCACAACAATGCTGCGTTATTTACAAAAGTCCGACCCAGGCGGAAGTTGAACCCACACTTTACGCTTTCCGGTCGAGTGCGCTATTTACTAGCCACCAGGGCCGCTTTTACCCTCTCAGCTTCAACGGCTTTTATGCCGTAGCCTTACAGCACTCACACGTTTAACTTGGTGAGCCGGTCAGCCGTAATCGTTAGATATCGTTAGGTATCTGGTGGCGTAACGGATAGCGCACTCGCCCGGAAAGCGTGAGGTGCGGGTTCGACTCCGCCTGGGGTCAGCTTTTGCCCATAACTCAGCATTCTTGTGATAACTTTCGGAATGAGAAGTGCGCGGTGATACTGAGCAGTTATCATAATGTAAAAAGTAATCAAGGTTTTGAGGAGCTGAAGGTATAATTTAGCAGTGTTCATTCATCGTTAGGGCGATGGTGATGCAGTGGCTAGAGATCTCGGCAAGCGGGCAGTCCGAGAGCTGTCCGAGAGCTCGGATCGACTGCCGCGCCAGTCAACCCAAGCTTCCATTTCTTCCGAATCGGTTGATGGGTACCACATGGGATGATAATAAGGTGTGGATCGGCTAGCCCCACCAGCCATTGTGTATGCTGTATCACAATCCTCACGCCACCACTTACTCTTCCATAGGTGGAATGCATGGCTCATCCAAGGAAAGAAATGAGCAATGCCGAGGGCTTTTTGGTGTTTATGCCTTTTCATTATCTTTAAGAAATAACAACTCTATTAATCCTCAAACTTCTGCTTTATAAGTTTTAGACAGGGAAGAATCTCCTACCTTTTCATCGTAATGTAGTAGTCCTCTGCCAGCCAGGATTGCTGAGGTGAGACCAGCCCAGATCTTAGTGGTTGAGTAAGCAATTGCCATTGTATCCTCACTCCATAGCTTGGCCCTCTTCTCTAAAAAAGGGTTACTGTCGACTAAGCAGGTAGAGCGGATTACGGAGCAATCAGAATCCAACGGTACTATTTTCAGTCCGACAATTTACCCAGTATTTCAGATACATAATACTTTTTGTAATAGCTCTCACTCGTAAAGTCCTGCGAAACTCTTGGCTATTCTTAACTATTTTTTTGCATAGCTCCTATGAAAGCAATATGCAGTGGTACCTGTTGGCATATCCTCCGAACAAATGAGCAACAACTTTTCCCCGGTGCAGGACTGCCAAGGCGGCGCCACCCCGGTCCTGTTGAATCATGGCACTTAAAAATACCAGTTTGATATGAGTTTTTCATGAGTAATCCGCCTACCTGAACTTTTGATAAATCTGTTCGAATCCCGGTTGAAACTCTCCACGCAATGTCGTGACTCTGTGTTTCACAAATAAGTCATAAAAGCGCTACCGGCGACGCATCACCGACTGCAATCATTGTTGTGCCATTCAGTATCATCATCTTGAAATTTGTTTTCTGTCTGGAAAATGATTTAGGAAAAACACTTGAGAACAACCGGATTTGTATTTATCAATATGAATTGTTCGTTTCACGCATAGATTGGTTAGAGATAGTCGTGTTCGGTGGGGGCATGTCAGAGGGATGGGTTTTGGAACGACGCCTGAACCCTGTCTCGCCAATCGAATGTGTGGAAGTTGGCAAGTCACCACAGCCTGGTGAGAAAAGCGGATAAATCCGCTCCCTGACACGCCCGCGCATTTGCAATAAAACAAGGTTGTAGACCAGAGTACGGCGCAGTTGGTAAGGGATAATCCGAAAGGATTTGTCATTCAATTAGTGAGACATAGAGTTACGCAGACATCTCGAGACCATTCTTAAGAATTTGGATTCTCTGCGTCAAGGTGAGAATTCACGGGCATTCATTTGGCTTGAACACGCTCGCTTGTTTTGGCCTGGGAAGAACTAGCACAGCCGATTTAGCTATGAACACGGCTAGCCCTGCGCACGCGGTGAAAAAAACTTGGCCGAAGTACATCATCCCACCATTGTGCTAGCCTACGATAAGGGGCTTTGCTACATAAAAACGTCAACGGGTTATCATTTTTCACAATAAGCGCACGTTCCGCTTCCACTTAAAATCGTAATGATTTTGAATGTGATGTAGCCCATTAGACCTGCGTGGAGTCGGGGAGGGAGGGGGGGGGAGGGAGGGGAGAGACTGTGTATGTGTCATTGTAATCACAATCTGGGATCCAGAAATGGTTGGCTGGAGCAGGAACCGCTCCAGGATTTCCGTGGACACGCCCTATCCAACGCCGAGCGATAGACTGCATACAGGGGGAGCAACAAAAAGTCACTTTGACCGAGTCACATATCAGCAGCGGATGTAAAACTGTGTTTGTGTCATTATAGTCACAATCTGGGATCCAGAAATGGTTGGCTGGAGCAGGAACCGCTCCAAGATTTGACCCTTAGACTGCGCTCGTGAAAAGTGGCTTACTTATCACTACGCTACATCTGCCCTTGCAAACTATTATTGTTATTATGTTATTACATCTTATTCTTGGATACTGTTTATAACTTTGCTGACGTGAGGACGAATGCTGTAAACGGTTAAAATTCAGATTTACTGACATGTTCACGGCATTTCATATTTTTATTTACTCTCTCACTTTTGTGTGCAAAATACCGTCGACTTGAGACGAATGTCATTTTCGAGTGCCGGAAACCCTCAACATTTTTCTGTGCCACCTGCGCTCTCCTGTCCCTCTATTGTCTAGGTTTCTGAGTACAACCTTCCTCTCGACAAGCAACATTCCACAGACAGCCAGCTACCGCCGCGGCATTCATTACTGATTCCGTGGACACGCCCTATCCAACGCCGAGATATAGACTGCATACAGGGGGGGGCAAAAAAAGTCACTTCGACCGAGTCACATATCAGCAAAGTTTTCGCTGCCCAGACAGAGGACGTGGATACGAGTACCAAGATGTTCCTCTATAAGCAGGAGCTGGCTCTCGCCCATCACCTTCATGTACACCAAAATATGAAGTCATCTCAGTCGCAGCCTGACTGGAGAAGACCTTTGGAATTCATGTCACCTCCAAACAGCTGCGAAACTTCTAGTATGGAGTCACCCATGGATAGCTACCTGGTGACC